ACAAAGGTCAGTATAGTTAAAGCCATGGTTTTCCCAGTAGTGATGTATGGAAGTGAGAGCTGGACCATCAAGAAGGCTGATCGCCGAAGAATTGATGCTCTTGAATTATGGTGCTGGAGGAGACTCTTGAGAGTCCCATGGACTGCAAGAAGATCAAACCTCTCCATTCTTAAGGAAATCAGCCCTGAGTGCTCACTGGAAGGACAGATCGTGAAGCTGAGGCTCCAATACTTTGGCCACCTCAGGAGAAGAGAAAACTCTCTGGAAAAGACCCTGATGTTGGGAAAGATGGAGGGCACAAGAAGAAGGGGACGACAGAGGACGAGATGGTTGGACAGTGTTCTTGAAGCTACAAACATGAGTCTGACCAAACTGCAGGAGGCAGTGGAAGACAGGAGTGCCTGGCGTGCTCTGGTCCATGGGGTCCACGAAGAGTCGGACACAACTAAACAACAACACCAGCCAACAGCTTGCCTCCCAATCAAGCAACAAGACCATATTAAGGAAACTGTTGATGGGGCCTAAAAGTGTATTGGGGGAACACTGGTTGCCAGTATGGTCTGGAAATTCCTAGTGCTGTACTGTTGCTGAATTTGTGGAGTTGGTTAGCATTTAGGTCAGAGAGAATCCCATGGAAGCACCATATAAAGCACTCTGAGCTTGCAAAATAAGAGTGTGGTTTAACTCTGAAGATAAATCACAGAATAGGAACAAATAAGAAGACAATCATAGTATAATATGGAGTTGGAAGGGACCGGAAGGGTCACCAAGTCCAACCCCCTCCAATGCAGGAATCACAGCTAAAGGATCCCAACAGATGGCCATCCAACCTCCGTTTGAAAACTTCCAATGAAGGAGAGCCCACCATCTTCATTTGCCAAACAAGAAAGCACTAAATATGAGTAGCTAATAAATAATGAGAGGCTTAATGCAATTTTAAAAAGTGCCCAAATACTTCTGACAATCGCTAGCTAGAACTCTGGAAGCAAGCTGACGTCCTCCTGAGCAGGTGGGCAGAACGCTGCCTGCAGCACTTCTTTGTATCTCTGCAATGAAAACAGCCAATGGCTCGCATTGTGATATAGTCACTTCTGTACCCAGAGCAAACATCCAGTACTATATGCCTGCAGGACACAGCACCACACAAGTTAAAACACACTCACACATGTATCCAGGACACTATATGTAGTGGGCAGAGAAGCTTGCACTCCAATCCAGCAAAGGAGGTCAGTGCAGATAACCAGTACGGATGCTTTTTGTCCTCATTGCATTGTTTTCAAGCTGTGTGTGTGTATTATAATAGTGTGTGTATTATAATAATAGGTATGCAATAAATCGTACGGTGTCAGTAAAGTTAACTCTTAATTCAAGGAAACAATGTTGACTCAGGCCAGGCCTAGTGAGCACAGCAACTCGTCCTGGTAGATCTTGCCCCTATAAGGCAGTTGTGGGGACTGAGGGTCCGTGCCTTCCCACAGTTCCCTAAGTCATCTCCTCCCTTGGGACCTTCCCAAGCAATCCGAGACTCCATTGCTATGTCTATCTTTGCTCCGCTCTCTTCATAACTCTTCTGGTTCTGGGAGATATGGGGGGAGCTGGTCACAGCAGGAGGTGGAGACACCTGAGAAGCTTCCCTAGTCAGGTTCATTTCTGCCTCTTGCCCCCCCCCCCCGCTTCCACTTCAGCTTCTGCCTCTGATTACGGACTTCTCTCTGCCACAGTCTATTCCTGCTCACTGAACCCTGTTGCCCCCACAGCTTCCAATACCTCCCCTTCCCATTCTTTTCTCTCTTCTTCCTCTGACCACTCATTGTGATCCCACCACCAATTCTTGGGCTCTGAGCCTTCTTCACTTGGGGGTTCCCCAGCTGGTGCCTCCCACCATTCCTCTGCACCCAGCCAGTCCATGATGCTGTCCAGTCAGGAGCAGTTGTGCACCACCTCATCTTCAGGTTCTTCCTCCTCCTGCTCAGTATTCCATGGTTGGCTTTGCTTTTCTGTGCTGCCTTTGGCAACAAGGCAATGGCCAGCTAAGTTGCTCCATCTGATACCCTCACTAAGTCTCTACATGCTTTTCTTCTACTACCGCTTCAAAGGCAGGCCTTCCTATTCCCAAAATCAAAACTTTACACATTTAATGGTATCTTAATAATTCTAAATATGTTGCACAGTCTTTAATGCCTATTCTGTTCTTTGTCCAGGATGCATCCAGATGTCCTATTACTATTACTTCACTATTTTTAATGGAAGCTGAAAATTCAGGGATAGAACTATAGTCAGTATGATGAACAGAGGAGACATAATGCTTATAGAATCGTAGAACCATATAATTGTTTTGCACAGAAACACTTTAAAATGGACTGGATTTTATTTCTCTGTGGTGCAACTGAAGCTACCAAGAGAGACCTGTCTAATAAGCAACCATTGTACTCAGGCCGATGCAATTTTGTAGCAGCCTATTTCTCACGGGAGAAGAAATTGGATTTGAGACGGTTGGCTCTTTAATTCCTTGCCTGTAATTCTCTGGCTCTCTTTTCTTCCTTGAGGCATTAGCTGTAAGCATAGCAACATCTCCTGGCAAGGACTGGCCATGGCAGCTCTATTTCAATGTGTTCTCAAAAGGCAGATTTAGCAGGCTGGTTTGCAACAACAGATATCCGAATGCTGCTAGCTGTCAACGTCAATATGCGAATGCTGACAATACCCAAACAATTTTGTGAATACCTACAAAAATGTTTTTCACTTCCCTTTCACTCAAAGGCTTAGTTGGCAAATGCACTGAGGTCGTGACCACTAATATTCAGAGGTGCATATATTGAGATTTCAGTCATTTGCAACATTCATCTGGGATGTAAATGCCAGCAGTCGCCAAATGTCACTCATATATTGTGATGCATACTCCAGACTTCATCCAAAAAGATGTACAGCTGAATGCTCATATAGGAATGAGTGATAAAGAATAAGAGAGCTGTGCACATGACTACCATCAAAATGGGAGTTGGTGCAGCATACTGTTAAGAGAAGAGTCTGAAGTGGAATCAAGGAAGGCCTTGACACTCTGTCTTCAGGATCTCACTAGAGGCCCTTCTCCCATGATGACCACAGGGACATGGGAGTGCCTGATATGCAGCACTCTGTGCTCCCACCACAGGAACTCCTAAGGAACTTCCTTGCCCTGGGGAGAGGGGAGAAGCAATAGAGATGGATGGGTAATCCACCACAATCCAGCTTTCAATGTTGCCTCCTGTCCCCAACTGCTACCACAAAGACTTCTGAAAAACCATTGTGTCCTGAGGTAAGAAGAACAAGCTTTCAAGGGGGCTTTCTTTCTCCTGCTTGTATCATTGTTATTGATGCTTATTGTTTTAGAAATTTAATGTAAACTGCTTTGTGAGGTCCACCTGAGATATACTTTTTTTTAAAGGTAACTATCACCGCCCACTGGCTCATAGCTGTAACATCAGAAGCCCCAGGTCCCCTGGGAGGCATCTAGCATGCAGTTCCTTCTAAGGCCAGAACTGCCCCACCTATCAGGAAGGGGGTAGTTGGCATAGGAAGAAGCCATATTGTAGGGCTCCTGTCATGTCAGCTGGTACTTCTACTGTTACCACGGCAGTGATGTAGGGAATATACATGCAGAAGTGGTTCCTGTGTCTCTGTGCTTATGGTAGACAAAGCACTAGGTGGACTTAAGCAAAACCTTGGTCTCTTAGTTGCCTTAAGATGTTAACCATCTTGGTTTACCTTGCAGGGATTTTGTAAGGATTTGGAATCTCCATAAAGCATTTTTTAACACTGAAATATGCTATGTAAATATTAAGCATTCTTAATGCCCATTACCATGACAACCTTGAGCTGGTTATAGCTGGAATTCATGGGGACAAGGCAACACATTCCTTTGCTTCTTTTTGTTTTCATTTTCCTTGTGATACAAATCAGTGAAGGGTACACTGATTCCTTAATTAACATGAATATTTGAGACTCATTTTTTAAAAAGCAGCTTTTCAATTTTCCCTTATGTTGCAAAATGCTATCTTCAGAAAAACTAAAAAGCAACAGTTTGCACAATGTAATGTGCAGTGATAAAAGGGAGACAACATGAATTGCTTGACCTGCACACCAACCGCCCTTTCAGCAACCGAAATTCACTTGTTTACGGTTTACTATTGCAAGTGCTAAAGGAATAGGAGCTGATGTCTTGTATCTCATAGCAACTTGAAACAGATGCCTTTGAGACATTGGTTCACCCTTTGTATTACAAATAAGATTCTACATAAATCTGGGTCTCCAGGTACTAGATCTCAATAGTGAGACCTATATAGTAAGGAGAGAAAATGAGGTATCCCCCTCCCCTCCAGTTCATGTTATGATCTCTTTCAAAGTTTGTGCTCCTATGTGGAAGCTGGCTAGTGAATATATATCAGGGCAGGAGGAGGAGGAGGAGATGCTGCCCATCTGATTGGGCTGCCCCAGCCACTCTGGGCAGCTCCTAGCAAAATATTAAAAACACAGTAAGACCTCAAAGATAAAAAACTTCCCTTCAGATGTCTTCTAAAAGTCAGGTAGATGTTTCTTTCCTTGACATCTAATGGGAGGGCATTCCACAGGGCAGGTGCCACTACCGAGAAGGCCCTCTGCCTGGTTCCCCGTCAGGGAGGATGTCAAGGAGAAATCAGTTGGGTGTTGCACATTATTTATGCCACACGTTTGTGGAGGGAGGGTGTGTGCTTGTCTTATGGTGTCGCTCAGCATAGAATGAGTACATGGTAGGGTCTGTAAGGTGCCAAGGGGGGGGCCATGAGCTAGGCCTTCAGCAGCCAGTCTCCAGTAGCACCTTACTTCCTCTGCCCCAAGTACTTGGTGTCCTCAGAGATGAGGCAGACTAGACCTTACATAAAAAGATGTCCTTTCTGTGCCTCACTTCCAGCCTGAATAAAGTCAGCTGACCTTGCCAGCTTCGATATTGTCAGCTGATTATCCAAGTCAGTTAGGACACGCAAGGCATTTGACAAGGTGCCCCATGATATTCTTGTAAAGAAGCTGGTAAAATGCGGTCTTGACTATGCTACCACTCAGTGGATTTGTAACTGGCTGACTGACCGAACCCAAAGGGTGCTCATCAATGGTTCCTCTTCATCCTGGAGAAGAGTGACTAGTGGGGTGCCACAGGGTTCTGTCTTGGGCCCGGTCTTATTCAACATCTTTATCAACGACTTGGATGATGGACTCAAGGGCATCCTGATCAAATTTGCAGATGACACCAAACTGGGAGGGGTGGCTAACACCCCAGAGGACAGGATCACACTTCAAAACGACCTTGGCAGATTAGAGAACTGGGCCAAAACAAACAAGATGAATTTGAACAGGGAGAAATGTAAAGTATTGCACTTGGGCAAAAAAAATGAGAGGCACAAATACAAGGTGGGGGACACCTGGCTTGAGAGCAGTACATGTGAAAAGGATCTAGGAGTCTTGGTTGACCACAAACTTGACATGAGCCAACAGTGTGACGCAGCAGCTAAAAAAAGCCAATGCAATTCTGAGCTGCATCAATAGGAGTATAGCATCTAGATCAAGGGAAGTAATAGTGCCACTGTATTCTGCTCTGGTCAGACCTCACCTGGAGTACTGTGTCCAGTTCTGGGCACCACAGTTCAAGAAGGACACTGACAAACTGGAACGTGTCCAGAGGAGGGCAACCAAAATGGTCAAAGGCCTGGAAACGATGCCTTATGAGGAACGGCTAAGGGAGCTGGGCATGTTTAGCCTGGAGAAGAGGAGGTTAAGGGGTGATATGATAGCCATGTTCAAATATATAAAAGGATGTCACATAGAGGAGGGAGAAAGGTTCTTTTCTGCTGCTCCAGAGAAGCGGACACGGAGCAATGGATCCAAACTACAAGAAAGAAGATTCCACCTAAACATTAGGAAGAACTTCCTGACAGTAAGAGCTGTTTGACAGTGGAATTTGCTGCCAAGGAGTGTGGTGGAGTCTCCTTCTTTGGAGGTCTTTAAGCAGAGGCTTGACAACCATATGTCAGGAGTGCTCTGATGGTGTTTCCTGCTTGGCAGGGGGTTGGACTCGATGGCCCTTGTGGTCTCTTCCAACTCTATGGTTCTATGGTTCTATGATTCTTATTGCTTCTCGGTTTAATTTTTGTTTGAAGGATATTGTGTTGTTATATTATTTGGTATTATTATTATTTATTATTACTCTTAGCTGACCTGGTATTCAACAACAAAAGGCAAAGACCTGAGGGCTGGCTAAGAGGACAACTGCAGTTCCCCAGGTTGGAGGAAGGGTTGGCACATGGCCTGCCCCAACTCCCACCCCATATCTGCCCCTACCCTGAACCACTGTGATTGGGGCACTCACTGCTCTCTCCCACTCCCCTCTTCCCTGGCACATCCCACAACGAATCTTGAATTTAAACACATACCAGTTACAACAGTTTAAAACAATTCAAAATAATTAAAAGCAGTTTAAAACATTTTTGACAGGTGGGGCGATGACAACAGAACTGGGACAGCATCCCAACTCAACTTCCAAAGTTTCAGTCTGTTGGTCAGTCAGTCAGGGCCCCGCCCACCCCAGGCCAGGTGGAAGAGGCCTGCCTGCCAGGCCAGGACTCATAGCTGAGATGGAGGGGTTCACAGCATTAAATTTCTGAGAGAGTCTTGCTTCACAGCAGCTGTGGATTCAGGAAGAAATCTACCACCGTATTCTGACCCTCTCCCCAGCTTTCTTCCCTTTAACAGCCTGCAACCCTGTTTGTTCCCCTTTAGTTCACACAATGGCCAACCCTAAAACTCTCCTTCAAATTCTTTGTCTTCTAAGTGAGTTGAGGGAGGAGCATGGAGCTCCCTCTTTTTGGCTTTCCTAATGGCTCATCTAAGGTCTAAGGGTGAAGTCCTGCTCCTGTCCATCATAATACTGGACAGATCAATACAGGGTTTTGAGAGAGGTTAATTTTAACTATTAAGTGAGAAATAGCAGCCACAGTCTAGGCCAGAAGTGTTTTCCCTTGGTGACCCCGCCATGTTGAAAAGTGTGTGTGTATGAATGGTGTTTCCTGTCCTGTCCAGAAATGCACTGTGCTAGATGAAGCAGGGTCTAGAACTTTTCTAAATAAATTGAATAAAACTGCTTAACCCACTGAAAGATATATTTGAAAAGTGAATATTAAGCCAGGTAGGTAAAGTAATGGTGTCATGTCCTCCATTGTGACACGTCCCCCTGCTGAGTGACTTGGCTGAGAACTTTGGGAAGAGCAACCATTTGAGGATAGCTAGTCCAGGCAAGAGGAGCTAGTTTGTGACAAAACAAATAAGTTTTCCAGTGCATTGAAGAGATTCTTTTCATCTCAAGTGTAAGTAGGATTTCTAATTCTTTCTACATTCCGCTTCTTTCACTTTTCCTTCCATGAAAATCCATCACTATATGGAGCTGCATGGGCTGCTGTCCTGGTCTTGTGGACAAGTGTGTTGGAAGGACAGAAGATAAACAATGAAATTTGCTACCATAACATCTTAGAGACAGCCACAAACTTGAATGGTTTTCTAGGAGAATTAAACACATTTGTGGAGTATCCATGGCTACTAGCCAGGATGACTTATGTATGGCCCTGAATGCCAGTTGCTAAAGAGCTCAAGTAGGGAGAGTGCTATCTGCTTCCAGGCTTTGCGTGGGCATCTGGTTGGCTACTGTGAGAACAGGATGCTGGACTAGATGCAATTTGGGTCTGATCTGGCACACTCTGCTTCCATTCCCACATAGTCTCAGTCTTCCTGCAAGCACTGAACTCCATTGATCTGACTTTAGCTGAGGTTTGCAGAATGCAAATTTGCACAGGCTTCTAAAGATGTGCAATAATTATAGGAGGAGAGTACCTTAAGGACAAAAAGTCAACTCCTTGACACTGGTGGACATGCCAGTCTGCTTTATGGCAGCTTTACTGACAGGCTGTATCACTTGGCTGTCCTGGGTCTCACCAAAGAAGATTAGCCTGCTAAAAAAGATGATGAACTCAAACACTTGGTATCTGCTTGTTTCTTTTGAAAAAAACAAAACAAACAAGAAAACCTTTTGTAGGTCTTTCCATACCAATTACTTTTGAATTATGTATGCCTCATGTCTTCTGAATCTCATCTATGCCTATCCTTCAAATAAATAAGAAAAGGATGAATATCAAAAAAGGGATATTATCTTGGTGTCAGAACCAGTTCCTGTCTGATGGGAGACAGAAATTGTAAGTAAGCAACCTGTCCTGTGAGCAAGCCTGACCTGGAAGTTTTAATAAGGGTTGGGCTGTGCCACACAACCCGGCTCTTTTTTCGTATTGCTGTGGAGAAGCTTCCTTTTTGATTTTAGGAAAAACAAAGCCCGTTTCGCACAGTGCATCACTCAGTCTCACAAGATGTAGAGATAGCCACCAGCCAGGATGGCTTTTAAAAGAGGATTCCACAAATTCATGGAGGATAAAGCTAAAAATGGCTAACTAGTAATGGTGACTATGTTCTACCCAGTGGCTCCAGCACCGGGGGCAGATAGCAGCCGGGGCGTGGCTGGCGCACATCCCGGGGGGCATGGCGCGCATCCTGGGGGTGTGGCACACGTCCTGCGGGGGCGTGGCGCCCAGCGCGGTGGGGCAGCCATGATGGCACCCCACTGGGATTGTGGTGCCGGGGGCGGTGCGCGCCCCCACCCCCCTCTTCCTCCACCAGTGGCAGAATAGCTCTGAGTCAGAGGTGGGAGAGTGCTGCTGTGCTGGGGTCCTGCTTTGGGGCTTTGCCTGGGCATCTGACTGGCACTGTGAGAACAGGGTGCTGGACTAGATGAGCCCCTGGCCTGATCCCACTGGCTCTTCTTTTGTCCTCTCCTTCGGTCAGAGTTCAGCGGCAGAACTGACATCTCCATAGTCCAAGGTTCAGGAGAGTGACGGACTTTCATCATGATATCTGGATGTTTTAAAGCCATGCATGGGGAGTTGTAGACCCTTGCAGCCGAGCCGCAACAGAAAACCTCCTGGTGAATATATTTAGGATAACAACTTCCACCTTTATTCACATCTGTGTAAGCCATCTTTCCTTCCTAGAAATGTTCAACAACATTTAAGGACATCATACCTCATTTCCTCACTCTTATCTATTTATTTATGTTGCCCGGAGCTGTGGCTAAATTTAATCCAGGCTATTGGACACAATAGCCTATAAATATGATTTCATTTGTAAATATTTTCCTTCTTAAGGCATCTAGGAATTATTACACTAGCCACTAGCTCACAGTCTAATATACTGTTTTAAAAGAACAGTGTTTTAATCCTTGGATAGGTAAGAGGAGCAACTCTGAAGCAGGTAGTGGTGGTTGTTTGCTAGGAAATAAATAATCCCTCCCAGTGATTTATCATTATGTGAGTAAAGAACTTTTTGAAGCCTCCACATTAAGTCTTACTTTTATTGACTGCCTTCTTTAAAGATGAATTGTTAGGCTTAAACACAAGTTACTCTCTGCTGCTGCCATTCCTTGGGCAACTGTTTATTACCTCTAACTTGAAATAAATAGCATGCAAGGGGATCTATTTCTCCCTGCTTGAACAATTGGCTCTTTCCTAGTGCTGGCAATCAATAGTAATCTTTCTGGACAGAACTGCCATTAAAAATTAAATGCTAGCTGAAGTTACTACCCCTCTAACCTCATTGCTCCCCTAGCTATGACAGTAAGCAAAAGGAGCAGAATATAAACCATCCAGGCTATACATAATAAATTTTTAAATATATTGCACAAGCCTGTAATTTTCCCCTAGATTGAAATCCATCCATGTGTTTAGAACTGCTCATGTGGATGTTTCTGGTCTTATATGCAGCCAGATTTATAACATTCATAAACATCCTATACAAAGCTGGAAAGCTGGAAGCAAAGATCCAATTGTTTGTTGTGTCTGTAGCCACTGTTAGTCTACCAGTTGGTGGTGGGGGTGGGAATCAAAGATCACACATGGTACAACTTATTTAAAAACAAATATACATGCATATGCACCCATGATTTATGATCATTCAGAATGTTTATGAATTATTCTGATTTAGAGAGCTGTCCATCGTAATTAAAAAATATCTTAGGAACAGATCTTGTATGCGTCAGGACAATCAAAAATGTGTTTTGATTATTTATTTATTTATTTATTTATTTATTCACACGGACCGAATATGCCCCCTCAAACGGCTTATGCCCCTTATAGAAATATAATGTGTAGTGTTTTACTTGTCATATTCACTTTGAAAACAGAAGAAGAAGAAGAAGAAGAAGAAGAAGAAGAAGAAGAAGAAGAAGAAGGAGAGTTTGGATTTGATATCCTGCCTTTCACTCCCTTTAAGGAGTCTCAAAGCGGCTCACATTCTCCTTTCCCTTCCTCCCCACAACAAACACTCTGTGAGGTGAGTGGGGCTGAGAGACTTCAGAGAAGTGTGACTGGCCCAAGGTCACCCAGCAGCTGCATGTGGAGGAGCGGAGACGCGAACCCGGTTCCCCAGATTACGAGACTACCGCTCTTAACCACTACACCACACTGGCTGGAATATATGGCCTCCAATGAGACATTAAAAGGTTATATGCGTCATTTAATAATATAAATTTCCATGCTGAATCTGTCTTATCCCAGTGGTTTAGGAGGAAACTTTCATCACGTCTATACCAATATGAGCCAAACTGGACATGGTACTAAAAGTGTGGCCGCTACCAATTTGACATTTAGCTCCTCCCTCTTCCCCTGTTTAGTTGATCATTCCTGTGTCCTGAAGTCATTCTTATCATTGTAGTGTGGAGCAGGAAAATACACAAAACTAAAGTTTCAGGAAACAGGTAAATTTTACTAGCGTATGAAGAGGCTTTGTGGTGGTAGAGACATAGCAGTCATTATTCAGGGACAACTGCATGTTTAGCATCATTGCAGTTCTCAACTGTAGAGGTTGTTGGAGCGAGTTATCTACCCAGGAGCTGTCCTCAGTCCTGAAGGACATGTCCCTTACTTTCACTGTTGCATCAATTCCTAGTCAATATCTTTAGCTTCCTGTCACCTCTGCCTTTTGCCTCCATTTTATTTCTACCCAGCTTTATCCAACCCGTTAGATGTATGACTTGCCATGTGGGTCACAGCTAAGACAGAAAAGGGAAGGGAAGAGGCACATGAGCTCCCCATCTTCTCTCAGTGGGTGGGAAGGCAGTGGGTATCCTCAGAGTACAACATTTGACTCCTGATGTTTTGATTGAAGCAGCATATTCTAGAAAGATGACTCACCATCCAAACTCAAAATATGTTTTATCCTCTTCAGTATCTTTTTGCAATGGTTACATAATAAAGTCAAGTCAATCGAAAAATCATGGGTTTTTCGGCTTGGCAAATTCTTCAAAACAGAAATGACAGCAAACCTCCCAGTAGGCTTATCAGTGGCATAAACTCTTGACAAACCTTTTGCCAAGAAGCATTGGCTTCCATGCACCTCACGCAGCCTCGCTTCCTTGGACTTTAGTTATCACCTGAAGAAAGAGCACCATTCTGGGATAATGGGCCCACTGATTGTCATATGGACATTCAGATAATAATTCATTACACACACACACACACACACACACACACACACACTTAAGTTACCCAGAAGACATTGCCACCAAACACAGACACACACATCTAGAAATGTTTTTCTTAGATAAAGAACAGTGGTTGAATCAAAGTCAGAGATTACACCACACTTCTGAACTGATCAGTGTGCCAAAGAGAGAGAGAGAGATTCAATAAGGACTAGAATATTATATTGTGAATTTCCCTGGATACGACTATTCACTTCTGTAATGCATGTACAAGAGAACTGGTGAGTAGGTGAGGAGAACCATTTCAAACATTCTACTCCAAAGTGAAAATTGGATCCAAACAAAGAGAATGAGTGAGATAGATGAAAGCAGCATCTGAGACGGCTTCTTCAGTGAGTGGGTAAATTAATGCAAAAGGGTGTGATACTGATATCCAGGGAAATCAGGATCACAGCAAATGAAGCAAACATCAGTCATGGAAAATCCAAACAAGAGAGTGCCTGGGGATATGACGCTCGCCTGATTTTCTTATACAGTTTGCCCAAATAATTATAGGATTTAATCCTTGGAAATGAACAGAATTTGATAGGCAGAAGGGAAAGAATTGAACCGTATATGTAGTTCATACACTGTCAAGGATTACCAAAGAAGTGAGCAGAATAGCTAATTGTAAATACAGGATTACAGAAGGGGGAAAGCATCAAGTGAAGAACAATACCAGGCCATGAGCTGCAGGGAGGGCAAACCATGGAACACCATTTTAGATATCAGGAGGTGTGGGAGAGGGGCAAAGCAGTTACAGGGTGTGGGAGGGCAAGATTCGGCATGGTCCAAAGTCCTATTCTTGGGCACATTCAAGGTTAAATTGCCGAAAAGCATCACATTTTCAGAATATTAACTGCAATTGTTTTCTTTCTTTATAGCTCCTGGCAATAATGATAATATCATTGAAATATTCATTTCTCTAAAGCAAAGGGATTTGTGCCTTTGACATGCATATATAGTATATAGGCCCTTGTAAATGTGTTGAGCGATTTTTGTTTTTATCTTTAAGCCATCTTACATTCTACCAGGGAAAAAGGCAGGGTCTAAATACTAATACTGATGGTAATGATAATAATTTGAAATTAATAGTCAGAGTGTTGAGCCATCTAGCTGTCCAGAAACACAGGCGCATCAGGGAAATAATCATGTTACAATTATTCCTTTTTGTTTATGAAGTGCTAAAACCCTTGGCAGCAAACAATGATTTAAAAAATAAAACGGGTCCCATCCAGAGGCTTATAATCCAATTAAACAGGTCATAACTGGGAAGGGAAATAAAGAGGGGTCAGTCAGGAAAGGCCAGAGTGAAGGCAGGGATGTGTCTAAAAATCAAACCAGAAGTGACAGCAGCAGACACATACTGTAGTCACACGTCTGTTCTATTTTTGTAAAAAGCAGGAGATGGAGAGACCAAGTCACATGGTAAGGCTAGACTTCAGTCAAGCTCAGACACAGGCTGCTCTTCGGGTTCAACTTCCACCCCTGGTGGTCCGCGATCCGAAAGGGTCAGAGGTAGTTCATCTGGGCAAAGGTGGGCAGGTTGATGGACATGTTCCAGAGTGGGCAGACTGACGGAAGAGCTGGCTTAGATGGTTGGCCGTCATATGGCCAAACATAGTGGGTACTGACTGATTGGCTTGTGGGATCAGCTGACAGTATTCAGGCTATATCTGAACCTGTAAAGGTGGTGTTTCCCCTTCGCAGTGACACTCCAGCACAGTAACACTACCACAGCGCGATATTTACAGTCTTTATTACATATATACAAGAACAGCTACAGTTCAGAATTACGCCTCCAAACCCGTTGAGTCAGATTCGGGGAGTGGCTTCCTACGATTCCCGTGCCAACAAAGTAGGCATGGGAATAGCACGAGACGTCTTTGATCCTTACGTTTCATTTCCCTCCTTGCCTGTGCTGATTTGAAAGCCAGCTTCCTTCCCTTTTTTTTTTAAATGATATTTATTAAAGTTTCAAAGAAAAGATTACATAAATAAAAAGAGGAAAAAAAGAAAAAGAAATAGAAAAGAAAAAAATACAGAAAAAAAGATAAAAAACACATCAATCTTTCCATGCCTTACATTTCATTTCCTTGCTTCCCTGACCTCCTCACACCTCCCTTTTTTGTATTCCAGTTCTATTAGTTAATTCAGCAATTCCTTTCTCTCTTTGTTTCTGTCTTAATCCTTAAACTTAATATATTATAACTTTGGATTTTCACCTGTTAACAATCCATTTTTACATACACCTTTATAACATTGCTGCTAAAACCACTTAACTTCATTCTAACATCATTCTAACATTCATTAATTTTGCAGTATTTCTGTAAATAGTCTTTAAATTTCTTCCAATCTTCTTCCACCGACTCTTCTCCCTGGTCTCAGATTCTGCCAGTCATTTCCGCCAGTTCCATATAGTCCATCATCTTCATCTGCCATTCTTCCAGAGTGGGTAAATCTTGTGTCTTCCAATACTTTGCAATAAGTATTCTTGCTGCTGTTGTGGCATACATAAAGAAAGTTCTGTCCTTCTTTGGCACCAATTGGCCGACCATGCCCAGGAGAAAGACCTCTGGTTTCTTCAAGAAGGTATATTTATATACCTTTTTCATTTCATTATAGATCATCTCCCAGAAAGCCTTAATCCTTGGGCATGTCCACCAAAGGTGAAAGAATGTACCTTCAGTTTCCTTACATTTCCAACATTTATTATTGGGCAAATGATAGATTTTTGCAAGCTTGACTGGTGTCATGTACCACCTGTATATCATTTTCATAATATTCTCTCTTAAGGCATTACATGCCGTAAACTTCATACCTGTGGTCCATAACTGTTCCCAGTCAGCCATCATTATGTTATGTCCAACATCCTGTGCCCATTGAAAGCCAGCTTCCTTCCCCAGCCTCTGGGTGGTTGCAGGGCTCTCCAGCGTCTCTGAGCCCATTCTCCCTGACTGCTCTCCGCTCCCTGTTCTGCCTCTTCTGGCCATTGCTCCTCAGAATCCTCCCTGACAGAACCTGAGACACACAATGAGTGTGGTCTTCTTTGTGTGGTCTTCTTCTTCTCTGGCGATCACTCATAGCTCAGTAAGATTGTCTTCCATTAATGCGGTCTTAATGGTGTGACCGTAGGTGACTGTGGAGGCCAATTCTGGATCCACATGTCCTTTCACATTGGGGACATAGGTTTCTGGGTGGGAGTTGATCACACTGAGGATCTGCCAAACCTGTCTTCCTCTTAGCTCATTTCTCCCTTTTGTCTTGAGTTTGGGCCTCTTCAAAGTCCATGACGCCTTTAGTAAAGACTGTTTGCCAATTGGAGCACTCACAGGCCAGTGTTTTCTAGTTGTCAGTGTTTATACTACATTTTTTAATATTCGCCTTGAGAACATCTTTAAACCTCTTTTGTTGTCGACCAGCATTACACTTACCATTTTTAAGCTGGGAATAGAGTAGTTGCTTTGGAAGATGATAATCAGGCATCTGAACGACATGACCAGTCCAACAAAGTTGAAGAATCACTGCTTCAATAGTGGTGATCTTTGTTCTTCAAGTACACTGGCAATAGTTCGCCTGCCTTCCTAAGTGACATGTAATTTTTTTGAAGACACCATTGATGGAATCTTTTGAGGAGTTGGAGATGGCATTTATA